TAAGCTGTGCTGTAAGTAGCTACAAGGCAACTCATATGTATAACAACAGATCTTATCTAAAAGGTGTTGCACAAAACACATATTTACATATCACGCCTTAAATCCTTGTGGGAAGGCAGTACACCGTGTAACAGCTGTAAAACACGGTCAAGCTGCAAACTCATTAGATGTGAGAATTGAGTGATGGTAGAAAACAGGTAAATGACAAGTGCAGAACCGTGGGACTAGAACTGTCAAGTGGTAAGTTGAGTACCACATAAGTTGCTATCATACAAATCAAGGTGACGGCAGTTTTGTCGTTTAAATGATGCAAACAGAAAAGACAGGCCCGAGAGGGTAAAGAGATTTGAATGCATATAATAAAATTTGACTGTGGCAGTCTAGAATAGTGAAATCATCAGATGATCTGGCAAAAACAGATGATGAGTTACAAAATTTGAATTAAGTGTCATACGATACTTGTTTTGAGCTATTAAACATTACATTCTTACATAATCGGGTTTCTATTTTAGCAATAATCTCTTAAGTAGTAATACACATCAAAGCTTAGATATCTTTCGAGAGGGAAGGGGTCCAAATCGGAGAAAAAAAAAGCGGACCTGCCGTCAGGGGCTATCACGGTTCGTCAGACCTGCCGAGAGGGGCTATCACGGTCTGGATAGGGACAAATCGGACCTGCCGTCAGGGGCTATCACGGTTCGTCAGACCTGCCGTCAGGGGCTATCACGGTCTGGATAGGGACAAATCGGACCTGCCGTCAGGGGCTATCACGGTTCGTCAGACCTGCCGAGAGGGGCTATCACGGTCTGGATAGGGACAAATCGGACCTGCCGTCAGGGGCTATCACGGTTCGTCAGACCTGCCGAGAGGGGCTATCACGGTCTGGATAGGGACAAATCGGACCTGCCGTCAGGGGCTATCACGGTTCGTCAGACCTGCCGTCAGGGGCTATCACGGTCTGGATAGGGACAAATCGGACCTGCCGTCAGGGGCTATCACGGTTCGTCAGACCTGCCGAGAGGGGCTATCACGGTCTGGATAGGGACAAATCGGACCTGCCGTCAGGGGCTATCACGGTTCGTCAGACCTGCCGTCAGGGGCTATCACGGTCTGGATAGGGACAAATCGGACCTGCCGTCAGGGGCTATCACGGTTCGTCAGACCTGCCGTCAGGGGCTATCACGGTCTGGATAGGAACAAATCGGACCTGCCGTCAGGGGCTATCACGGTTCGTCAGACCTGCCGTCAGGGGCTATCACGGTCTGGATAGGGACAAATCGGACCTGCCGTCAGGGGCTATCACGGTTCGTCAGACCTGCCGTCAGGGGCTATCACGGTCTGGATAGGGACAAATCGGACCTGCCGTCAGGGGCTATCACGGTTCGTCAGACCTGCCGTCAGGGGCTATCACGGTCTGGATAGGGACAAATCGGACCTGCCGTCAGGGGCTATCACGGTCTGTCAGACCTGCCGTAAGGGGCTATCACGGTCTGCCACCGGAGCTTCGCTTCACTGTCTGCAGAAGACGACGTGCTGGCATGCTGCGTTATCCAGATGAACCAGACGCAGCTTCAACAATCCTTCGAGGACGAAGGACTGCAGGATGGCCGAACTGTTAGACCGAAGAAAAGGAACACCGGCAATTATGAAGAGTCAGCACTAGTTCGACAGTCAAGGGGTCCCATCGCAGGGCTCGCTCTCTTGGACGCTATCGGTCGACGCGCGCGGACCATTGTTTATATTATAAGCGATCCAAAATCATTTAATTAAAAGGATAATTTCAAAGAACTCTTGTGTTTAATTTAGAGTCAATAGTTCGAAATTTGTAAAAATTAATTGGCAACATTGACTATGAATGGCAACAATTTAGTATTATTTTTTTTTAGTTCCATTTTATTTAATTTCTACTCTTTTTTGCTGGACTGTAGACAGGATTCATTTACACAGCACGCACACTAACAACCAACCAATCACAGCACCTTTTTTAGGCGCGTAAATTAAATTCATCGAAGTAGCGTTTAGTGGTGTGTTTTTAGGACAAACAGGGTGCACTTCTTTCGTTTTGTTTTTTTTCGTTTTGTCAATTTTGTCGAAAACTAGCGTGTATAATATTTTTATAATTTGCCTATTACCTACTTGCTTATGTGTTATTTGATCTGTCCCTAAAATATCTGCAGTGAATTTAATAGAACCTTATAATATGAAAAGGATATGTTTTTATTTTGCCTGATAATCGCCAATATACCGCTAAATCTGCTGAGCATGCCGAAGACCGAACATAAAAAATTAACAGCTCTAAGTAATTAATTACTTAGGCCTACATAAAGAACATAAACCGAATATTCGGCCCAACTCTACTGCAGTCTACTGCCGGATGCAGGCCTCACCATGGTCACGACTAGAGATGGGCCGAAAATTCGGTTTATGTTCGGTATTCGGCATGTTCGGCACGTTTGCCGAATATTTGGCCGAATAAAAACCCATCCTTTTTATATTATATGGTATGTCAAGACCTCAAGACAAGCAATGATGCAGTTTTATTTTAATTTGTTGACAAAGTTTCCAATGTAAAATGTTAGAGAGGTAAAGAGCGGAGTGGTTTGGTGCGAATCAGCGCATAATTCGTAAACAAGTGATGCTCCTGATTATTTTATATGGACATCGATTCCTGCCGAATTATTCGGCCGAATATTCGGTTCGGCAATCTTTTTACCGAAGTATTCGGTAAAACCTATGTTCGGCCCATCACTAGTCACGACGCACCATCTACAGTTTTTCTTGTCTCATTCATCATTAGGCGCGTCCACACGGTGCGCCGAGGCAAATGCTCTCGAGGCATACGTTCGGGTTCACAAAGGTCATGCTCGGGCGAGCGCGCGCAGGCCGAGCCGTTTGAGTGCTCGGCTGCCTCGATCCTAGAGGCCTTACCACAAAAAAGATAGACCAGCGTTCAACGCGTATCTAGCGTTTTTTTTGTATGAAGTTTTATTTTAAATACGCGTTCGACTCGCGTCTAACTTTTTTGTGGTAAGGCAAGTTAGTTTAACTAAGCGTCCAAATGGACCGAACTTGGCTCGCCTGCCACCCGAGCGTATGCCGCGCCTATGCAGTGCCTCGGCATGCTCAAGCTCACCGTGTGGACGCGCCTAATGGGAGGTTTCAGGTTCATAGAGGGACCGTTATTTAATTTGAAGTAATAATAAACATTTTACATGCATTTTTCTTGGTTTTTATTTTGCTATTCAACTTCCAAATATTTTAATTCCTCTTGTTGTCGAATGTGCCCGAAATACAAAAGTTCCCAATGAGTGCAGTGTGCTAAGGAGACGGAGCTTTTGACCTTGGCGACCATTTGGCACAGAATAGATCTTAAAAAGGTCTCCACGCTGGTGTTCCGTGAAGCCAAAAGAGAAAAATATGGTTGGCAAGCAAACTATCCAACAAGATAGTAAAAATCTTATAAACTATAGAATCATTTTTGTTACGTTTATATTATACAACAACAAGTTTAATGAATTATAGTGCATGAACTTTATTAGAAAATCTAAGTTACATTCTGAATTTAAAAATATTATGTATCGCTTATTTTTAGTTAGAAAATGAATGACAAGTTACGTTACTGGTATGGCCCAGTACGGCTGCCTGGGGAATAGTGTTACTAAGAAGGAGAAGATGTATTTTCAGGGAATTTTTTGAATATGTAAAGAGATTTAATAAATGACGACTATCTGCCGACAATGGCCGTATGGTGGCGGTAATACCACCTACCTACGATAGTATTGCCAAAGAGAGTTTACAGGCGGTGCAACAACAGCATCTCACATCGCATATGAAGGTAAGTGGTGCTGGCTGTACAGCATCACCCCACATGTCGATTCATACAGACGAGCGTCGGTACCAGTTATACTATGGCTAGCTGTGTAGGGTGTGTGTATGGGAGTTAAAGGAAACGTCCGTCAGTGAAGTGCTGTTTATTACTAATTTACCTAACCTAACACATTCATGGATGGATGTTCTGCATGAACGACTCTATAACTAAGCATACTACTCTACACAGTGTCGATGCTGTTTGAAAGCCCTTAGGCAATAATAGCATCTCACTTCAGAACGAGCCGCCTTGACAGCCGATGTGGCGCAGTGGTTAGTAGGTACGCCTGCCACGCAGAAGGTGCCGGGTTCAATTCCCGGTGGGGTCCCTCACCAAGTTGATATTTATCACTATGTGAATGAATTTGTTTCCAGTCTGGTTATGACATTGCAGGCTGAACCACCTGATTACCTATCCGAAAAGTAAGATGATTCCGTGCTTCGGATGGGCACGTTAAGCCGTCAGTCCCGGTTGCTATCTATAATGGCGGTCGTTACACACACAACCATGTCAGAGGCCTGTAGGTACCTACAGGAAATCGTGACGCTTGAAACAGATTCCATAGAAAATGTATGAAACAAGCAACAACAACATGCTATTCGGATTGAAGCTGAAGCTGAAAATCGGCAGGTAGGTAGGTACTTCTTGACGACCTTTTGATCAAAATTAGACATGGAACCCAGCGGGCACCACCCCCCCTTAACTTTTTACCCCCCTTTAACGTGATAATAGTTTGACGTGAGTTTGACACGAGCATTCTAAAGCTAAATTATTATGCAGTTGCATACACTATTTTATCTACACTCTACAAGAAAAACTATGAAAAATAATTCAAACCTCCGCACTTATATGGCGATTGCAAGCCACTGAACCATCAACTGAACGACTTTGTATATAAGTAACTTTTTAACTAAACTTTAAAATGGAGGCTCATAAAAACTGAACAGCTTTTAAAATTAAAAAGCATTTATCGGTTTTTAATTCGAAAAATGATTTGAAGCAAAGATTTAATAATAAATAAGTCTTCGTAATTTCAAGTGTCGTCCCGCCCGGGTGACATGTTTTTTTTAATACTAAATTTTAAAACACTTCTCGTGTTAGGTAAACAATTTTTGGAAAACTTGCATGCAAAACCGCGGTAGCCCAGTTGGTTAGGGCCTTAGGTTAGGGCGTCGGCAGTACTGATGCCGAAGGTCGCAGGTTCAAATCCTGCCTGCGGTGAAAATTTTGCAAGTTTTCCAAAAATTGTTTTTTTTTTTTTGTCTTTCTGTTGGCACAGGAAATAAAAAAGCGGCATAGGTATTCGTTAAGTTTTTTTTTAAATACTAGACATTACGATTAAAATTTTAGTAAGGAAATTATTTTTTAAGGCTGCATATTTCTTAATGCAGTTCATTACGTACCTGCTTTTGATTCTGTAGAACGAAAATTACGAGATGAGTGTAGATAAAAATTATTTAGTTGCTGCTGGTGCCTTATTTTGAGGCTATGTACAGTACAGTGCAATTTCGAAATACGAAAGTCATGATAAAATCCGTGTAAAGTAACATATTGGGAGATAACATCTGTTATTTAAATCCGTCCTCCCGAATGAAATGATTGGGGTTCTTTTAGATTTCTATTGCTCACCAGTCTGGAGTAATAGTTACGTTCCACAGAGAGGACTTTTGGGGCATGAAGCTCGATCCAGTGGTTAGCACCAGATGACAGTAGATGTTCCGCATTGCCGATTTATGCGTCTGTCGATTTTTCACAGCTGCGATATGCTCCTTGACGCGTTCACTAATACTTCGCTTAGTTTGGCCAATGTAAGACTTACCACAGCTGCATTGTACCTTTTATACACCTGCATTCGTCGTCGGACATCGTGAGTGTTGTGTGCCGGCCTAATGTGTAATGTTTACAAACAATCTGAATTATTAAGACAATATGTGGGTAGTAGAAGAACTAGTTGCCCACCGCCCTGATGACAACAACTCGCTGCTACTTCAGTCCTATGCTTCAGTCTGTCCGCGACCATAGTCTAATAAAACATGGTCTTTCCTTGCCAGAGAAACACAAGTCAACGTCACTTAGTATTGCCACTTTATTTCAATAAAATACGTTATGGGGTAAATTCAATCTCAGAACAATGGGTTAAAATATTTCTTAATAATTTTATAATTTAGATTTACGTGTGTATTAACTTTAACTTTACAGCAACACTTAAATTTTATTTATGTTTTAACAGTATCTTAAATGATTTACAAAAAACATCATAAGAGTGGGTAATTCTGGTAACCCACAAGCATGATGACGTAGTCTTGTGTTGGTCACGTGGTTCACGAGTCTCGGAAAGAAATACCAGGCGGAGTATCTTATTATACCATGTCCGCGACCACGACTGATGTAACTCAGTCGAAACGTCGGGTTCCCAGGTAAATCGCATAATTCGGTTCGCCAGGTAAATTTTTTTATGCCTTATTTTGATATTATAGATCATTCTAAGAAACTATTTTCGATATTTTGAAAAGATATTATTTATTTCTATTTTAAATATTTTTTTAAAGTTTTGAGGTTTTACTCAATCACTAGGCTGCATATTCACAATATCTTTGCCTACACCTGGTCTATAAAAATAATAATAATGGCAATCTATGGATAATCAAAACGTCAAACAATTGTCAAGTGTACAGATAAGTAGAGATGTAACCTCACAACCCGTAACGGCTTATCGATATCGATATTTAGCGCTGGCGTGAGTAAATATTCAGTAAAATTTTAATAAGCTTATTTTAGGAGCTTGTTATTACCTACGAATCGTGTTTAACATTACCATATTTGCAAAATATTGGCATTAAGACTCTAAAGGCTACTAAGTGAGTAGGTTTGCCGACTGCCTGTGTCAGAGGTTTCTACTCTAATAGTAATCAAATTAAAATACACTACGTCTGACAAAATTTTTGAGAGTCATTCAGAATACTAAGTATGGCCATAGTGACAGTTTGTCAATCTTCCACCAAAAAATTGCAATACACACCAACATTCAAAAGTAGCTGCTTACGACACCCACGGAAAGATATGGGGTAAGCTGGCACCACACGACAGCATCGTTCTTTGTGAATAAACACCACTTAGCACTGCGCTCACCGATCCGCCTGCCAGACTAGGTGATTATGGGAAATAATACCCCCAATATGTAAAGGCCAATACTTGCTGTGGGCCCATGGCCAGCAGTGGACTTTTGTAGCTGTTATATGTTATGGTTCTTTACATATTTATAAAAGTGATATGCTTTGAAAGGAACGTTATCCAATAATAATATACAAAAAATATTTTTAGCGTTTATTCTTGATTCATCACATATGAAGTAAATTCAAGCAGACAAACGCAAACGTATACGCAGGAGACACGTCCTTAGCAAAAAAAGCAACTTTGCACTGTTCCATATGTTATTCACAGCAGTACTGCAAAAAATACAAGAAATACTCCGTGTTTATTTGTGCACACCATTTTCCCAACAGCCATTCCAAAATGAGTACCAATAATATGTACGGATAATCACTTGAATTATTCTCGCACATAGAACAGCGCTTACCTCCCATCTTAAACAAATAGAACACACATAGTTAGTTTTTATTTTTAGTTTAAAATATTGATTACGTCACGAATCAAAGCAAAAAAAAAATGGTTTGATCTAAGCTACACATAGGATCTTAAACAAATATCGATAAGTAATGAGCAGCACTATTGTTTACTTCGGCACCACAATTTGGTACCGACTTTGTTTGAAATTATACTATTAATATAGCCGAATACTAATATTTTTCTATAAAACGCATTATTTAATAGCTGAACTGCGATAAAATACACTATTTTTTGTACTTACGAGGTTTGAAAAATAGCTAATTTTGCCTTAGAACTCATATTTGTGGCCGACCACGTAAATGTCACTGTTTTCAATATTTAACACAGCTACAACGCCAAATCTATTACTTTTCGAGCGACAGGAGGTCGCACTAGACACTGTTCACAATTTTTTCCCGTAAAAGTCGTTGTAAAATGCGTATTTTCTTTAAAATATAAAATTTTATATAAACACAAAACAACAACAAACGATTGACGGATAATGCAAGAAAGACAATGTCAAATTACCATAATGCAAACTCGTTGTTTTTTTTTCTCAACTAAGGCAAAAGGTTTATTCAATATAAACCTTAAGGTTCTATTTCAGAAGGTCAAATAGAGGTCATCGAAGGCAAAATATTTTATTAAAATTTCTTAATTAAACTTAAAATAATCACCAATCTAATACGTAGATATTGTAGATAAAGTGTAAATCTCGAAACGGTTTTGAGATTTTAGTTGAAAATTACCTTGTTAGCATACCGAATTACCTATAATTATAGAGAAGAACATGTCAAGAAAAAAGATGGCGGACATTCGGTTTCTAGTCAAAGAAGGTAAAAGTTAAAAAATAATGTTTTATTGTATAAAATAGAATTATTGAGTTCCTAAAAAATCATACAATTCAACCTTAACATTTCATTTAGGCTTATAATAATAAAATTGGCTCAGTGTGCGAGTGAGGGAAAATCTAAAAAGTGCGAGTCGGACACGCCCACTAAGGGTGCTGTACCATTTTGTATAAAAATCACGTTGGTTGTATGGGATTTCTTTTGTGTTATTCAAATTTTAGTATTCGATATCATAGTGGTAATAGTAATACATATTCTGTGAAAATTTTAACTCTCTAACCATCTTAGCTAAAATGGGCAAAACTCAATGGATTTTTGATGGCACCCTTAATTTAAATTTAATTTCTAGTATTTTGTTTTTATAGTGGCAGCAAAAATACGGCATCTGCGTAAATTTCTACTCTTTAGCTTTTACAGTTTATGAGATACAGCTAGGTGACAGACGGACGGACGATGAAGTCTCAGTAATAAGGTTCCGTTTTCACCCTTTTGTACGACACCCTTAAAATGGCTTTTCCTCACCGATTTTATGCGGGGAATTATTCTTAAGTTGGAACGGTGAAAATTACAATGATGGCCTGAATCGCAAACTTTAAAAGCAGAGCACTTCTAACCAGTGTGTGTTCTGGTATGAGAGTCTAAGAACGAACTATCAGCAAACTTCTTATCACAAAACCTACAAGCAAAGCTCTACCTACCAGAGTGTGTTCTGATATGCGAAATTAAATTATCGTTTCGAGCAAACTTCTTATCACAAAATCTACAAGCAAAGCTCTTTTCACCAGTGTGTGTTCTGATATGATTTTTCAATGACGAACTATGAGCAAATGTCTTATCACATATCTGACAGACATATGGTTTATCACCAGTATGTGTTCTGATATGCGAAATTAAATGAGCGTTCCGAACAAACTTCTTATCGCAAAGCTTACAGGCAAAGCTCTTTTCACCAGTGTGTGTTTTGATATGATAATTTAAAGTAGCTTTTTCAGCAAACTTCTTATCGCAAAGCTTACAGGCAAAGCTCTTTTCACCAGTGTGTGTTCTGATATGCGAAATTAAATGAGAGCTTTGAGCAAACTTCTTACCGCAAAGTTTACAGGCGAAGTTCTTTTCACCAGTATGTGTTCTGATATGCGTAATTAAATGATCTTTTCGAGCAAACTTCTTATCGCAAAGCTTACAGGCAAAGCTCTTTTTACCAGTGTGTGTTCTGATATGCGAAATTAAACTATCGTTTCGAGCAAACTTCTTATCGCAAAGCTTACAGGCAAAGCTCTCACCAGTGTGTGTTCTGATATGAGCTTTCAACGACAAACTATGAGCAAAATTCATATCACATATCTGACAGACATATGGTTTATCACCAGTATGTGTTCTTATATGCGAAATTAAATTATGGTTTTCAGCAAACTTCTTGCCGCAAATCTTACACGCAAAGTTCTTTTCACCAGTGTGTGTTCTGATATGCCTTTTTAGATTAGACCTGTGAGAAAACTTCTTATCACACAACTTGCAGGAGAATCTCATTTTACCAGTGTGTACTTGGACGAGTCTTCTATTGGATAATAATTTGCGCACAAAGGGGTTTCCATCTGTATGTGATCTAATATGTCGTATCAATGTACTTTTTTCGGTAGTTACATATGAACACGTGTCACAAACATATTTGGAGGTCACCGAGTGCTCTCTTGAATGATATTCAAACGCACCTGCTTCATTGGTAATATAGTTACACAAAGTACATGAATATTTGTTTTTTAA